CTCTTCCATGAGTCAGAGCAGAAGAGACCATTTCCAGCCCTCTGCCTCAGAGCAGAGAGATCACAGTCTGTTCTTCAGTGAGCTCTCCAGGCCACATTGTCTCCGTCTCTGTCCGAACCGTCTCTGTCTCTGTCCATGCTGCTATAAACAGCAGCGTCCTGGGTTGTGCGCCTCTCCGCAGTGCTCCCAGTCCTGCCTCCAGGTCGGGGCACGTCTCTGCCCTTCGTGCTTCTAAAACCACCAGCCACTCCCAGTTCGCCCCCTCGACCCCGCTGCTCCTGGTTTCCGCCCCGGGGGCTGCCCTAAAGTCCTTTCCTGATGCTACCGATCTGCGAGTCTGTGCGCCGTCCGCAGCGTGCGAGGCTGTCACTCACCGGTGGTGTAGGATCCCCACAGCCAGGCACCCTCCCGCTGCCGTTTTTCCTCTGATATCTGCCCACGGAATCACAGCTCCCTGCTTTGTACCTCAAAACCAACCGCCTGCGATATTCTGTTTGTAGAGATCCAGATCTTCTTACACCTCAGGCTGGTTTCGTGGGTGCTCAGAGTGGTCTGGTGGATATCCAGCTCAATTCCGGGGACCAGTTGGAATAGGGTCCCCTACTTCTCCGCCATCTTTCCTTCTCTCTTACTGTTGCTTTTGTAGCAAGTTTTGAAATAGAGAAAAGGGAAGTCTTCAACTTTGCTCTTTTTTTTTTTTTTCAGGGTTGTTTTCTATTCTTGGTCCCTTGCATTTCCATTTTAAGCTTGTTAATTTTCTACAAAGAGGTCAACAGAAATTCTGATAGAGATTATGTTGAATCTATGGGTCAATTTGGGGAGTATTCCCATCTTAATAATATTAAGTCTTCCAACCCATGAACATGGGATATGTCTCCTTTAATTTCTTTCAATGATCTCTTATGACTTTCAAAGTATAAGTTTTGCACTTTCTTTGTTAAATTTATTTCTAAGCATTTTATTGTTTTTGATGCTATTATAAATGGAATTGTTTTCTTACTTTTCTTTTGGGATTGTTCATTGCTAGTATATGGAAATACAACTGACTTTTGTATATTGATCTTATATCCTGCAAGCTTGCTGAACTTGTTTATTAGTTCAGATAGTTTTCTAGTGGATTCCTTAGAATTTTCTATATGGGAGATCCATGTCTTCTCTGATTAAAGGTAGCTTTACTTCTCTCTTTCTAATCTGGATGCTTTCTTTCATTTTCTTGCTGGGGGCCATTTTTACAGGTTCATTACAGATTGCCTGCAGAGGGCTCTCTCTCTGCAGAACAGGGTGGCAGAGCTGCTGAGGGTGTGGGTCAGGGGCTGGCACAGTCTTTTCGGCTCAGGCCATTGAAGGCTCTGCAGTTCATTTCCATCCATAATGACATTTCTCTCCTGTTGCTCCACACAGCTAAGTATTGTTAAAAACATAGCTCTAAAGAATAAGAAAACTTATGTGAATATGGTTAATGACGTGCAAGTACATTTATCTCAGGAATATGTAAAGTTACAACTCTGATTCAGCTCTGTATAATGTAGAGCTTTCCTCTGCCCCAATTTTCTCTCCCCTAACACATAGAAATGTTTATGTCAAAGGTATATCATATCTGTATTTTTTCCTTTTTTGGTTTCTCCATGGTATTGCAGCAGAAGCACACACAGGAATATGGAAAAATCTTCAAGTCTCACTTTGGTCTTCAGTCTGTAGTATCTATTGCAGACCGAGACATGGTGGCTCAGGTGCTCCGGGCAGAGGGGGCCGTGCCCCAGAGAGCTGACATGGGGTCCTGGCAGGAGTACCGACACTTACGAGGGAGATCCACCGGGCTCATCTCGGCGTGAGTATGTGGCCTGGGCCGACCATGGTTGGGAGACCCCTGCCTCGAGGCTGGGCTCTGAAAACCAGTCTTTAATAAACTGCACAACTCCCAGTGGAGTAGTGTCAAAATAGCGTCTTTGCATGATCTCCTAAATACTGGTGCTGAGGGCCCTGTCCCTTCTCCTCTGGGAAGAGATTTGATGGCAGGGACAAGGTCGGGTCACACTAGCTTGGGAGAGGGGAGGAATTGTTTCTCAAGCAGTGCTCGGAGGTTGTAGGTGTCCTCTCAGTGACAACCAAGTGGGGGGTGGATCACAGAGCTGATCTGTGGGCAGGGAAGGAGGCAGGCAGCTGCTTTAGGAGGCCCTGAAGAGGGGCTAAGATCCTTCCTGCATGGATCACTATGTGATGCAGTTCCCGTCTCATAACAGGCTATGATTATTACTTGTAAACAAGGCTCACCGACACCTCTGTGCCCCTAAGAGCTAATCAGCACAGTCCCAGGCAGGAAGGAGAACACAGAGCATCTGTGGATCCCCTGGTCCAAATCCCTTTGGTTAGGAATTTTATTTGTGATTCTTTATATATATATATATATATATATATATATATATATATATATATGCCCTATGCATGAATTGGGGAGAAACACAACCATAGGATTCTCAAATGAGGTAAATAAAAGCTGGGACTGGACATCACCAGAGTCCCTCAACTTCTGCTCTGAGGGAAATAATCAAATACCTCCTCCCCATTGGTCCAGTCCTGGAGGGGAGTGGCCAAATGCTGCAAAAGCTCTTTGCTCTCTGCACCATCACCTGCGGCTTGGCATCCACTATCCACTCTCTGCCCAGGAGCTCAGTTCAGGACTCAGGGTTCAGGAGTTTATACACATAAACCTTTTTCTCTTTTGCTAATCACAACAGCCTCGTGTCTCATTATTATAACAGTTTTGCAAGGTTTTTCAAAGGAAATCATATTACTTTCATAAAGATGATTCCCAGGGGCAGTTTTTCCCCTTAAAGTTTGCTTCAAGGGGAACAGATGGCAAGGCTGAAGTTACTCTCCTCTCCCTGCACAGTATCTTAATTCCATTTGGATCGGCAGACCTTGTTGGCTTTTTTATTGCTGGGGAAACTCTTAGAGGTTCCCTGAGTTCTTTTCCAGAATGTCAATGGAAGTAAGGTTATTTGAAGCTCACTTTACTCTTCTAGGGAGGGTGAACAGTGGCTCAAGATGAGACGTGTATTGAGACAAAGAATTCTGAAACCAAGAGATGTGGCCATTTTTTCAGGAGAAATCAACCAAGTTATTGCTGATTTAATTAAAAGAATCTACATCCTCAAGAGCCAGGCAGAAGATGGAGAAACTGTGACCAATGTCAATGACCTTTTCTTCAAATATTCCATGGAAGGTGAGGTGAAGTCAGGAGGTAGATGGAAGAAAGGACATTTGCCCAAAATGATAGTTCTCATCCACTGGGCATGCCCTGTGTCCCCCAGCAGGCACTGTGCTGAGCCCCGCACATACACACCCATAGCCCTCACGGTGCAAACTTAGCCAGGTGTTCCACCGCCACTGGTTTACAAGTGGGGAAACTGAAAACCTGCCTCCATTTTTAGTGACAGAAACTTAGTTTCAAATCCAGGTCTATTTAACTCAAGAATCATGCTCCTAATTCCTGCACATTTTGCTTTAGCACAGTTTGTAGCAAACAGAAGTTTAGAGGGCCTCTACCACAGTCATTCTGGCTTTTAAAATTCATGTGGGATGGGTAGGACATTCCCATCCATGTCCTAAAGTCAAAAATCAAACCCCAAAGGTAGTCATTGAAAAGTCCCCGCCCTCTCCCTCTCTCTTGACCTGGGGAGGTCACCAGTTTCTTTAAGGGATACATGTGAATATTCTTTTTTTTTTTTTGGTTAGAGGAGGAGAGAGAGACAGAGCACAAGCAGGGGGAGGGACAGGCAAGGCAGAGGGAGAAGCAGCCTCCCCGCTGAGCAAGGAGCCTGATGTGGGGCTCCATCCCAGGACTCTGGGATCATGACCTGAGCCGAAGGCAGAGGCTTAACCTACTGAGCCGACAGGTGTCCCTACCTTTTACTTAAAAAAAAACCAAAACAAAACAGTAGTGAACCAAACATCTTGTTTTGTACTTTGCTTTTTCCCAAGGACCTTCTATCAGGGTTCTCCTTTTTTAAAAGTGACTTTACCTTATTTCAAATTTAATTTTTAAGTTAACTTTTTAAAGTTATATTAATGCTCCCTGAACAAAGTAACGAAATCAACAGAGAGATGAGTTGTAAAAACAGTGGAAAATCCTGCTTTTCCTGATTCATTGAGGCTGTTTCCTCTGCTCCTGAGGCTCTCTGGGGCTCCCCCCTTCATGGCCCAGAGGAGCCACCTTTCAATTCCCCAACGTTGGGCAAGTGGCCAAAAGGTTGGGGACTTTGCATCCTGGGTCTTGAACAAACCCTCGGGAGGGGAGGGAGGGAGGGGGTGTGATGCGGCTGAGCCCTGCCAGGCAGAAGGAATGACCTGCCGACCTGTTTTCCATCAGCACTGAATACTCAGAGCCCTGTAGCTCAGGACCTGGTAGAGGAAACCTCTGGTGATACAGTAGAACCTCGCTGGAGGAAGGCACCTCGATTACTTTTGCAACTTACTTTTATGGCTGGATATTGCATGTTGATACTGTGAGTAATGGAGAAGAAGAGGGTTTTTAAACTCTCTCTCCTGTGCAGGGGTGGCCACCATCCTTTATGAGAGCCGCCTGGGCTGCCTGGAGAACAGCGTCCCACAGCCCACCGTGGACTACATCGAGGCTCTGGGGCTCATGTTCAGCATGTTCAAGACCTCCATGTACGCGGGCGCCATCCCCAGGTGGCTGCGCCCCTTCATCCCGAAACCCTGGCGGGAGTTCTGCAGGTCCTGGGACGGACTCTTCAAATTCAGTAAGAGAAGAATCGAGGGGCACCTGTTGTCTCACCAGTTGACACAACTGCGTGGATCATGGTGCATCTGATGCTCATGCCGCCGGCGGGGTGACGTTCCGGAGGGTGGCCTGATGCAGTTGCGCGTTTTTACTTGGACCCGGTCGGTATTTGGCTCGGCTTCTCAGATGACGAGATGCATGTGGGTTGCCACTATCAGCAACACGACCGATTTCTCATTTTTTAATTCTTTTTATTGTGACAAACATGCTAGCGGTGATTTATGCAAGTAAATGTTGTCTAAGGGAGATGATGACTGGTCCAGTAATTCTGTCAGTGCTTGAGATGGACAGCGTTTTGGGCCTGTGCACTTTCACTCGAACATTCTCATTTGCAGCTTTTTGGAAAGAGACAACTTCCTCTGGCAAAACAAACTAGGAAACAATACTGTGTTCAAACCCAGCAAAGCGAGATTAGTTTCCCTACATAGCTAACCAAGAATTTCCAAAAAGAAAAGCTTTGCAAAATGTTTGTTAGAACCATGTTTTTAGAACAACACTGACGTTGAAAGATGTGTCCCATAGTGTCTTTTGAAGGCCAACATTTATTTGAATATGTAAGTTCTAATGGATTGAAAGTGCCACTATCTTTTTATGTAACATGGCCTTTACGCTCACTCCATTCTGTCTTCTGGAAACATAGTAGGAAAAAAAAAAAAGAAGGGATCTGTAGTTTTGTTACTCCAAAGCTTTCTTGGCTCTTTGATGAGTAAAGCAAACATTTGCAAGTATCTTCTGCATTTATTTTTAGAGAAGAAGAGATGCTTAGCTTGTCTTTAACTTTTTTTTCAAGATTTTATTTATTTACTTGAGAGAAAGAAAGAGATAGCGAGAGAGAGCATGAATGGGGGTCGGAGAGGGAGAAACAGGCTTCCCGCAGAGCAGGGAGCCTGACCTGGGACTCGATCCCAGGACCTTGGGATCATGACCTGAGCCAAAGGCAGTTGCTTAACCGACTGAGCCACCCAGGTGCCCATGTCTTTAACTTTTCATTCATTTATACAAACAAGCACGTGGATGAGCTTCCCAGGTTGACAGTAAATCGACCTGGGATTCGTTTAGCTTTGGAACCTGCCACAGATTAAGTTATTGGGAGGATGAAGAGATTACTCTCAACCACAACTTTTTTCAAAAGAAATAACTCTTTTCAAACAGGCCAAATCCACGTTGACAACAAGCTGAGGGACATACAGTGCCACATGGACCGCGGGGAGAGCGTGAGTGGGGGGCTGCTCACATGCCTCTTCCTCAGTCAGGAGCTGACGCTGGAGGAGATCTACGCCAACACCACAGAGATGCTGCTGGCTGGCGTTGACACGGTGAGCATCTCAGCCTTGCTCTCTTCTTGATAAGCAAAGCACAGCTGAAGCCGGGGGCCTTTCCGAGTAATCTCATATGTGCATTTGTGTTGGTGCTAACTGAACATCTGCTTCACTGCTGAATGTCTCCAGGAGGAAACTCTAACTTTTAAATAATATACATGTATTTTAAAAAGTAAAACCATAATTCTGCAAAAAATGCAACCCCCATTCAGTTATCATGCACACAAAGTAACAATATGTTTTAAAGTTTAAAAATCATTCCCGATTTGCAAGCATTGGTCCATTGCTTCATAATATCAAAAATGAAGAAGGCACAGACGTTAGAAACCTTATTATTTATCATTTAAAGTGTTGCAGGTCATGGAGGACTCCCCAATTCATTTTATAAAGCCACCGTCACTTTTAAACCAAAACCTGCTAATGAGAGCACAAAGAAAGAAAAGTTTAATAAACAGTTCGACTTATGAATATGTGTGTCTATCAGTCTTTTTTTTTTTAAGGTTTTATTTATTTATTTGTCAGAGAGAGCGCATGAGCTGGGGGGAGAAGCAGATGGAGAGGGAGAGGCAGACTCTCCACTGAGCAAAGAGCCCAAAGTGGGACTGGATCCCAGGACACTGGGATCATGACCTGAGCTGAAGGCAGACACTTAACCAACTGAGCCACCCAGGCACCCCATGTCTATCAGTCTTAAGTAAGATCCCGATGAATAGATTTATTGTAACAGATGAATAACCTGCTATGACCAAGGAAGGATGAATATCTGAATGAAACAAAGCACTGTCAATGGACTGGGTGGGAATTGCATCCCCTGTTGTTAAGTGAGAAATGAAGCCACAGAAACTGTGTATGCCGTGCTCCCGTTGGTAAAACAAACAGTGGCCCGCCCCTGCCCGTCTGTGTGCACGTCCGTACCTGTATGTGATTTTATGAGTGTGGAGGAAGTATGGAGGGTGCACACTGGGTTGTTAACATGGGTTACCTGCCTGGGGGGTGGGGAGTTGTGGGGGGATAGGAGCCAAGTTTCCTTCTAAAACATATGTGTAATAGGATACATTTATTCATGTATGAAAAATGATATACATATGGATACATGTACAGAGAAATTTTTAAATTTGCTAAAAGAAGTAGTGAAACAGGAAAAAGCAGGGCTAGGCTTTTAGTATTTGGTGGAGGAAAAGTTAGTTGCGTGAAATAATTAAGATTTGCCTGGTGCTTTACTCTTTCCAAAGCCCTTCAAAACTAAACAACTAAGCTCATGAACTCAAACCTTTTCCTTTACAGGAGTGCTTCCTGAACTTGAATAAGGCACAGACCTTCTGTTTAAAGGGAGAACCCCCTCCCCCAGGGTTGACATTGTTTTTATTATGATGTCACATAAACATGTAAAAGCAAAAAACAGTAAAAACTCCTTATTCTTATGGATCTTCTACAACAATAAAACAATTTAACCAATGAAATCAATGTGATCAATGAAAATTCTAATCAGTCATGTGAATGTGGTGGGTGATGTGGGTTTGCTTGAATGGGGAAGGGATGAGTGAGTGGTTGACCTTGCCTCTGAACGGATTTGGGTGCGTTGTCCCTCCTGCCCCCTGGTGGTAACTAAGAGCATCACATGAGGTGGAGCGCAGAAAGGACCGTTCCTACCAGAGGCCCCTGGAGGCCACATCAGCAGAAGCGTTCTTACAATTCATATTCATTTTCTAAAATATTACTTAAAAAACTTTATTTCAGTATAATTTATGCAAAAGAAACTGCATCCTTTTAAACCGTACAATTTGATATAACTTGTTGGCAGATACCGGATAAGCACAAATGCAATCATTTATGAAACTACCACCACCATCAAGATCCTGAACATTTCTACCACCCCTGGAATTTCCTTACCCCCATTTCCGTCCGTCTCTCCCTGCCCCAGGCAACCGCTGATCTGCTTTCTGATGCTGAGCATCAGTTCGCACTTTTCTAGAAATTTATAGGAATGGAATTATTCAGTGTGTATTTTGCATCCAGCTTCATTCAGTCAGCAGATGATTTCAGGATTCACCGATGTAGTTGCATATCAAAGTAGTTTATTCTTTTTTATTATGGAGTACAGGCATCCCTCGCTTTACTGTGCTTCACAGATTAATGTGTTGTTTTTATTTTACAAATTGAAGGTTTGTGGCCACCCTGCATTGAGCGAGTCTATAGGCTCTATTTTTACAACAGCATCTGCTCACTTTGTGTTTCCATGTCACGTTTTGCTAATTCTCATGATATTTCAAACATTTTCATTATTATTATATCTGCTATAATAATATAATCTGTTATAACAATATATAATACACGTTATATTGTATAATATATAAGTATATATTATATTTGTTATAATAACATATAAAAATAGAATCATTGGTCTGTGCTCAGTGGGTGATTAGGACTTGCTGAAAGCTCAGGTGATGGTTAACATTTTTTAGGAATAAAGTATTTTTAAATTAAAGTGGGCACATTGTTGTTTTAGACATAATGTTATTGCATACTAAATAGGTTACAGTATAATGTAAACATAGCTTTTATTTGCACTAGGAAAGCAAACAATTCATTTGACTTGCTTTATTGTGATACTCGTTTTACTGTGGTGGTATGGAACCCAATCCACAATATCTCCAAGGTACGCCTGTAGTATTCCATTGTATGGATATACCGCATTTGGTTTTTCCACAGAAATGTGATTTTAATAGAAATTTCTAAATTTTTTCCTTATCATTTATAAGGAAGAACTTGAACATTATATATATTATAGGAGAGCTTGCCCTCTAAAAACTTAAAATATCTATTACAGGGAAATGATATCAGTATGGTCTACTGACTTTTTTAGGTAAAAGAAAAGGCATTTATACTGTGGACTTTCCTTGTTTATGAGAGTGAAATACAGTCACATAGATAATAGGGAAAATTGTAGTGAGAGTCTTGGAACCTAGGAGAATAAGATATAATTATTTTCAATAACCAGAAATTTAATTCTTCAGTCTGAGACGTGGTATAAAAAAATGGTACTGTTTTGCATAAATGATCTATTAAATTCTTATAAGTTGCTTTACTTGAGAAGAGCATGGAAACAGTGGAGGACAAATACCGCCCTTCCCCCACCAGGAGGCAGCCAGAGCAGGCCCCGCCCAGCCATCGTGGGCCTGCGCAGTGCCAGACTGAACAGTTCTGGGCTGACCGGCAGGCTCTGGCCCTTCCTAGCAAAAAACCAGATGACCCTTGCAAAGAAGGTCACAGAAAGTTCCAGGCACCACTTCCAGGCTTGACCAGCATCCTTAGGTCCTCTCGGACGCCATCGAAGAGGATTGCTCTTATGTGATCCAAAAAAGTTCAAAAATAATTTCTCCTGCAGCCCTTCATTGAAAGAGCAGTTGAATCACATAGCTGATGCTACTTTCCAAAAATATTTGTTTTTTTTCTGGCATGATTTAGGGAAAGTCAGCTTTTGCTTTGCTAAGCCCTAACGTGCTCAGATAGAGTTGAATGGACATGACTTTGCACGTGGGCTTATGCTTATGTGACTTCCTGGCCGAGGTTGCCTGCTGCTTAAGTCCTGGTGTTATTCACCTACGTGCCTGTGCCTGCCTGTTTCTTTATCAGACGTCCTTCACCTTATCCTGGGCAGTGTATCTCCTCGCGAGGCACCCAGAAGTGCAGCAGACCGTGTACCGGGAGATCGTTAAGAATTTGGGGGAAAGGCACGTCCCAACGGCAGCCGACGTCCCCAAAGTCCCACTGGTCAGAGCTCTGCTGAAGGAAACGCTGAGGTAAAAGGCTCGCCAAAATTCATGTCAAAAACTGTCTTTTAAGTCTCTGATTCTTTATCACTATGATTTTATGCTTTGGACTTAAAAACCAGGTCCAAAACAAATGGGCCAACAACCTTCAGGGGCCAAAATGTTAAGGAAGGAGATGGTTATAACTATCTGTTTCCTCTCTGCGCTTGTCAGAATAGCAGAAAGGCTGTTCTGTTTTACGGTCTGAAATATTAGTTGTTCTTCATAAAGCTCTTTGGAGCCATCACCCCATGACATGGTACCTGCTTTAGTCATTTGGTTCACCAAGTTCCCCAGCATGCTCCTGGATCAGTACTCCATGGTTCCTGTTCCTCTGAAAGTAAAGCAGAACAAGATGGATTGATCAGGAAAATATTTTGGGCTGTTTGGCTAATTACCAAACCTGCTTACTGTGGTTCTTGTGTGGATATGCTAGTTAGATTGGTGACACCAAATGGACTCATTCGCTCCTGGACAGGGCTTTACCAACACTTGGAAAAGCCTGGACGTGAGGGATATGGGTGGCCTTGGGTGGGTTTGGGTGGGAGGTAGGATCAGGTGGCCAGTGAAATTTCTTCCTCCTTTGAGGTTCAAGGATTCTGAGGTTCAAGGATTTTGTTGAGGAACTGCCACGTAGAAGAGCAGAAGTGGATACATGGTATACCCTACAATAATTCTTTTAAACTTGACTTGATAATGGTGTTTCAAGTTGTGGTGCATCCTTAATCCACAGCATGTTGTTTAACCTCGGGGGAAAAAAAGCTAGCTGTGTGTTTACTGGTATTCGTCGATTGCAGTTTTATTCAGAGTTTTCTCTGGATTGCCTCTCGGAGACAGCCCAAAAGCTGAAGTAGAGCATTTCTCAACATGTGTTTCCAGGGCCCCTGACTCCTGTGGACTGTTCCTTGATAAAGGGGGTCCCATGCACACATAAATTTCCCAGACTTGGGATTATCCCTTCTGGGAACACAGTAGCACGTTCAAAACTCTGCTTTGTGTTTCATAAACATTTTTGACTAGGGGACCTGTTTTCCCATTCCTTAGACTACTCCCTGGCCAAAGCTAAGGAGCCACGAAGATCCTTATGAGATTTCCTAGTTGAAACTGGACTGCGAGTTACGTTTTAGAAAAATGAAAATGGCAAAATGTCCAGATTTTTGAAAGTTTAGCAAAGTACTTTAAAAGTGACCACCCCATTCCTGCTTCTTCTTTTTTTTTTTTAAAGATTTTATTTATTTATTTGACAGAGAAAGACACAGTGAGAGGGAACACAAGCAGGGGGAGTGGGAGAGGGAGAAGCAGACTCCCTGCCGAGCAGAGAGCCCGATGCGGGACTCGATCCAGGGACTCCAGGATCATGACCTGAGCCGAAGGCAGTCGCTTAACCAACTGAGCCACCCAGGCGCCCTCCCATTCCTGCTTCTTTTCCAGGCTGTTTCCAGTGCTGCCGGGGAATGGCCGAGTCACCCAGGAAGACCTGGTCATTGGCGGGTACCTGATTCCCAAAGGCGTGAGTTTGGTTGCCAGGGTGTGGGGACTTGGGCTCTGCCATGGTGGCTGAGCGGGAAATCTGCTGGTATATTAGGAAGTCCTTGAGCCCAAGCAAATATCAATAAGTTCCTTTCCTACTGCATGTATTTTATAATGAAGATGGGGCTTTGGAAGCAAGGAGGTGCTCACTGCCCCGGCAAAAGCAAAGCCAGATGTTTCTGTAGCTCACAGGCCTTTCTCCTCCTCCCTCCCTCAGGGGCTGGTGGACACAGCAGTTGTGGGGGTGGGGGGAGAGGTTTGAAGGACTTGAATCTCCTCAGTGGCTGCAGGGGTATGAGAGGTGGGCGTCCACTGAAGGAGGACCGCTCTCCGTGGGGGCCCTTATGTGGCTCCTCCTGGCCAGAAGCACCTCGGGAGGGACTGGCCAACCGGGTTCTTGCCTCTGCTCTGCTTTTGCCTGATCCTATTCTTTATTCCTTTAATGTTGCAAATGGTGTCCTCAGACCCAGCTGGCCCTCTGCCACTATGCCACGTCCTATGCGGATGAGAACTTCCCTCGGCCCAGGGAGTTCCGGCCGGAGCGCTGGCTGCGGAAGGGAAGCCTGGACCGAGTTGACAACTTTGGGTCCATCCCCTTTGGGTACGGTGTTCGGAGCTGCATTGGGCAGAGAATCGCAGAGCTGGAGATCCACCTCCTCTTGATCCAGGTAGGCGTGTGGGGGCCAGACGTCGGCCTTCTGCCTCGGCCTCATTTCCTGGGCTCCACCAGACCAAGGCTTAGGTGGGAAAGGAGATGTGATTTGGAGAACTCAAGTGCACTAGCTTTATGTTAAATCCCTTTTATATTTTAAAATGCCACCTCCTTGGGTCCCCTGACCACCCACCGAGCCTCTTTTCTCCTTGGAGCCGCGGAGCAGCAGTTGGGGCTCTTGGAGACCTGAGGACTGGGAGGTATGCATGCTGTGGTGGGTCTACAGGGGTCCAAGAGCTCAGCTCTTCATCACATGAGGAGCTCTCGACAGAAATGAATGGGAAGGTGTCAAACCAGTGGTCTTCGAACGTTTTGGAGCAGCAAAGGCATTAGGAGGATCCTTAGAATGCAGGTTCCTGGGCCACCACAGAGATAGGAATTTGGTGGGTCTGGGGTGGGGCTGCCAGGGGGTTCTGACGCCGGTGATTGCTGGGCCGCACTCTGAGAGACGTGTGAACCAGCCACTTAGGCCGCGCAGTGGTTCTCACACTTGTTTAGGTTGTGAAACAGCAGGAAGGCTTGGTTTTGTTATATTTAATCTCTTACTATTAAAATGTTGCTTTTCTGCCTATACTGTATTTCAGTTTGTGCTGTAGCATGAGCTAAATCATCTTTGAAGGAAATTTTATAAAAGAAAACACTTTAGTAGAGAAAATTCTACTCGTTAGGTTTCCCTGCAAGTTTAGGAAGACTACTGTTAACATAGCCGTGGAAGACCTTGGCCCAAGGTTTGGGAGCTACTGCCATTGACATTGCATTGGAGGAATGTAGAGATTACCTGGTGACCCAGGATCCCCATTTTATTGAGGAGGCCACTGAAGCTCAGAGAGTTGGAGCCACTTGCCACGGTCACAGAGTGGCAGGTGCGTGGCACGGTCCAGGTGCCTTGACTCCTTCCTCCATTCCCCCCCATGTCATGGGGGTGCTCTCCTGCACCTCACAGAGCTTAGAGCAGGACACTGAGAGGTTAGGACCTCGATGACAGATGGCCTGAGAGAGCGAAAGGCGCTATGGAAGCCTGGCCAGCCTGGCAGGGGTGGAGAGGGATTCTGGACGGTCAGCACTTGGGGACGGCTCTGAGAGCTGGGAAGTTGAGGGGCTTCTGCCCAGCCAGAGGGCATGCGGCAGGAGGCGTGGGAGCAGAACACCTGTCAAGGTGGGTGGCTCAGGTGGGAGGAAGCCCGGTGACCGGCGTGTCACATGGTCATCTCCCCCTCAGTGGAGGTGCGGTGGCTGCTGGCCAGGCTCACCTGGGGACGGTGTGGGCCCTGCGGACACTGGCCCGTCCCGGCGGCGTCTGACGTGAGAGGCAGCTCGGTGCGGCGTGGATGGCAGTTCCGGGGCAAGCGGACTCAAATCCCAGCTCTGCTGTTTGCGGGCCCGACACTCCGGGCAGGTTTCTCAGCCATGCGAAGCCTATTCCCTTATGCACGAAATGGGCCAAATACCTACTTCTTGGGTGTGTGAGGACACAGTCTGTGCCAGAGAAGTGGAAGCGGCTGCTGTCCCTGCACCTGCTCCGAGTGTCTGCCCTTGGGTGTTCAGGAAGGTCTCGTGTTCCATAAAATTGGCTCCGTAGATTCTGCAGCCGCCTCCGGGGCAGGCAGAGGCCGCTTCCTACGGAGAGTCGGCCGTGGGGCTTACTGCTCCCCCCGCTCTGGCTGCCTGAAGAACCAGAGGGGACACCACGAGAGCAAGATGGCAGCTGAGGGCACAGAGGCCAGCACCGCCCGGTGCTCCCGTTGGAAGGGGTCAGAAACGGGGTGTTTGGTGGCAGCGGTGGGGTTTTGTTTGTTTGGTGCTATTAACATACAAATGTACCTGCTGCAGTTTTTCCTTGAGTCCTCATTTCTACTTGTGCAAATAGAGAAACGGAGCATCATTATTCGTAATTGTCAAGGAAAAAAAAAGAGAGAGTGGGCACAAATGAGCCATGCTAGGAATGAGAAAGGAGACATGGCTAAAAATGCAGTTGATGATTTTTTTAAATCAAGAAAATACCACAGATGGCTTTTTTTTTGCTAATACATTTGAAGACTTAGATAAAATGTACAATGTACTAGAAAACGTAGGTTGCCCAAATTGACTCAAAAGAGAATAGACCTCAGATACCGAATACATGGAGTTGGTGGTAAGATTTACCTCCCAAGTGTTCCAGACCTCGACAGTTTCATTGCAAGTTTTATCAAACCTTGATGAATGGGTAATCATCATCTTATACAAACAGAGACTAGAAAAAGGAAGTCTCATTTTTATGAGCCTTGCATAGCCCCAATATTCAAAACCTGGAGAGGATAATATGAGAAAGGAAAACTACCAGCCAATCTGATTTATTAACAGAGACAGAAAATATCCTAAATGAGAAATTGGTAAACCAAATCCAGCAGCGTAGGAAACAGAAGTGCATCCCCAAGCACATCACGTGTATTCAGGAATGCAAGGATGGCCCACCTCAGGGACATCTCTTGATATCATTTGCCACAGTAGCTAACTGAAGGAGGAAAATTATATGACCACCCCCAGAAAGAATTGATAGCATTCCACACACATTCATGAAGAAAATCTCTTAGCACACTTAACGGACGGGCTTTCCTTAACCAAATAAATGGAGTCTCCCCCAGTAGGACAGGGCACATGCCTTTGGCTTCGGAAAGGGAAAGGACATTAATGGAGCACCGTCAAACGGGAACAGGGTATTTGTATCACACAGAGAATTTTTAGGAAGTACACTTTAGCTCCTTGGGAGTTGGGATTTGAGGCGCAAGAGGGCTTTGTTTTTTGCTCCTACGTTTCCTGTGTAGTTTGGATTTTTTTTAGTGAGCATAGTGTTGCCCACTCAGAAAGGGAAGAAGGCCATGTGGCATATTGGCCCTGAAGTGAGGAGACCTACACGTGAGTTCTCCTGCCCTGTGGGATGTGCAAGCAGTTCTGCGAAGTCAGAACCGAAGGTCAGAGGTTCGATGTTGTGCTGAAGCTATCTCGATGCTATAACGTGTTGGAGCTGCCGAAATACGGGTCATTCAGCTTGGCTTTTGAAATGTGACAACGGAGGGGGTCCAACGTATGTCCCCAATCAGCCCTGCCCCTTCCCCTGCCTGACCTCCCCTGGAACCCCAGCCCACCTGAGGACCCGTCAGTGGGTCCTGCTGCTTCGCTTGGGGGACGAGGCTAGAGAGGGAGTCGGGGCAGGGCGGGGGTGGGCAGCTTGGATCCCAAGTGACATTATATGTTCTCCAAAACTGATACCTCGTTAGGCTGGACTTTATTCTGGACCCAGTGGGCAGCAGGGTAGGGGCCAGCAGCTAGTGTGCTTGTGAGCATGGCCCTTCCACCCCCACCAGGAACCCATGTGTGCTCTGACACGGTCTTTTTTGTTTGTTTGTTTAAGATTTTATTTATTTATTTGACAGAGAGAGAGACAGCGAGAGAGGGAACACAAGCAGGGGGAGTGGGAGAGGGAGAAGCAGGC